AAACAGGAATCAAGTCGATGCACATTGTAAATAATCTTTTAATGGCTCTCGCCCTGCTCTGTTTTTCTAACATTCTCCTTTCCTCAGGGGTTCATCACGGGTGTGGGTAAAGGACTCCTGGGTACGTTAGCCAAACCAGTCGCTGGTCTCTTTGACCTTGCCTCGGGTACCAGCGCGGCTCTGAGGGAGACGATGAGTCGTGTATCGAGGTCGCTCCACCACCACCTCCCGTCTCGACAGCGGAGTGTGTATCGGTCACGGGGCCGCTGACCTGTTACTCCGAGTTCAGGCCAGAGGTCAGGAGTACGGTTCTGAGGAGCTGAACGATGGAGCCAGGAGTTCCGAGAGACGATGTGAGTCGTGAATAAATGCATTAGAGATAAATAGCATTTGATGAGATTGATCCCGCGCCAACCAGACCGTGTGTGGCATAAGTGTGAATATAAATCGTGCTAGGCGGTGAGAAGTTGTAACTGTAAGGATACACATATATGTGTGTACATTTTAGCTACACGAATAGAAACACGTAATAGACTAAACATTTGAATGTCCCGTTTTACTTTTGTTTTCCTTTTTCCTTCCCCTACTCCCTCCAGACTGGTGTCCTATGAGCTACTGACGAGACCCTGCGGAGCATGGAGAGTCAGTCATCTCATCGCAGAGCTCTCTCTACTTCTTCAGAGACAGTCTGACCTCTCAGTGCCCTGTCTGAGAGGATGACCCATCAATGACCTCAGGACTGCCGAGCCTCTCCAGCAAGACCAGTAAGTGTGATGAAGAAGATGAAACTGAAGTTTCAACAGTTCTTCCTCTCATCCAGCAATCCCGTCATTCTACACTCGTCCTGTCCTGGTGGATTGAACTCCTCCCGAAACACGACCATGTGATGGGAGAAGCATCCACACACAAGCTTCAAGTGTGTTCAGGAAGAAAAGGCATAAATGGTAAACATTTATCCCTTCCACTTCCGTTAGTATCTTACTTTACAGGTAAAGAGACTAATATAGTTGTTCGTCCAGACTTCGTCACACATCCAGGTGCTGTATACATTGTGCACATATAGAGTTTGACCTCTGCAGGCTGCCTGCTCTCACTGGCCACGCTCGCCAGCACTGTTTTGCATCATTCTAGATTATGACCTGCACGTACTCACGTATTAGTAGCAGCCTTACTCACTGATGTAGGCGTCTGACTATGTAACTAGTAATCATAAATGTATTATCGGATCACGTGGAGATTTGGCAGACTCAGTCGGTCAGGAAAGAGAGCTACCAGAAGTAAAGCGCACCACGACCATGTATCATCCCTCTTTTCTTGCTTCTCGTAGGTTGCCCAGCTCATAAACTATGCCAAGAATCTTCACGAGGAGAGAAGAGAATTGTTTAGAACTCTCAGACTCAGCAGACACCATCTGGTAGCCCGAGACCACACCCACATCAATCGACTCACCCATTGACGAGTCATTTTTATTATTTGTTTTCTCAGTCTGCATGACCCAAATATCGTATTGGCAAAGCAAACGAGCCTACCTAGTTGTCTGGAGGATTTTTCTAGTAATGAATGTCATCTGCACTGCACATGACTAATTAAGTGATTAAAAATTGATCAAACTGTCTGAGTCTGCATGCGTGCCAACATTCAGTCTAGCCAGTGTGATGATGTGTAAGAAGTGGAGGATGCTGGTACTTTTGGGTTGTGGGTTGACTTCAAAAGGTTTGTTGATACACATGTTACAATAGACCATGTGATGTCCAGAGAAAAAAGATGAGGCGCTCGGACCGCTGTTTCGGGCTTGTTAGCCCTCATCAGCAAGCATACCGCACTTTCTCTCTGGCATCACGAGTTATAAGGCAGAGTTGAGCGCAGCACTTGTGAGTTTGACTAATGAGATTCATCCCACAAGCGTTGCTCAGGCGCAACGCACTTGTGGTTCTGAACTAATGAGATTCATCCCCACAAGGCGTTGCGCAGTACGAGCCAAAACCCTTACTAGCAAAACGCGAAGTCAGCATGCTGAGCAGACCTGTTGACAATCATATTTCTCACTTTCTTTTCCCACCAACACTCCCAGACCGAACAACCGGTACAATATATGTAATGTACTGGATGCGGCCCAAACACCCGAGAAGGGCGATACTCTTTTACTGCGATCCTTGCAACCAGCTGATATGTAGCTACTGCCTTGTGTCTGAGCATCGTGCCCACCAGTATGATCTTTTGGCCAACTCGTTGCCAAGCACGAGGAAAAGTTATCGTGACTCTCTCAAGCCAGTGGGTGAGCAAATTGCTACGTTTTTACAAAGAGCCGTTGAGTCGGTGGACACTCAATGTGCTGAAGTTGTAAGAACAGAAGACGGCTGTGGTGGCAGAGATCCGCACTGCCATGCACACCTGCGACAAGCTCTAGAGGCGGAGGGAGACAGAGCTGGTGGGTCAAGCTGCAGCAGACGGCACAGCAGAACTGAAGACCTTGGCAGCACAGCGAGACGGGTTTTGAACTCAACTAAGCAAATTGAGAAACTGCCAGGAGTATGTGGAGGAAAGCCGACATACTTGCAGCCAGGGGGATTTCTCAGGATGAAGAGTCCTCTAGTGAAACAAATCGATGACCTGACAGCAGCTTTAAGCCAACAAAATTACTTCTTGCTGACACAGCCGACATGAAGTTTGCTCACAGACTGCCTGGACTCTGATGAGGACTTGCCAGGGTGTTTGGTAAGGTGTACTGCAGTCAGTGTGCCTGAGAAGTGTCGAGCCTCAGGGTGAGGTTGAGGTATCAGGTAGCCATGAGAGGGCAAACAGTGGTTTCTCCGTGGAAGCTTTAGATAGGGCGGAGAAAGCTTGCCTCGTACTGTAGACAGCTTCACGTGCGAGCTAGTGCTAGCGAGATGGCAGCGCAGTCGAGTCAGGGGCAACTGTGTGAAGAGAAAATCGAACATCTCCGACCTCAGTGTGCGGCTGGAGCGGAGGGAGATCAAACAGTCAAGAAGCGTACCAGCCTCAGGTCACTGGAGAACCTCAACTACACATTTAATAGTAATCTGATTGCCGCTATCTGAACAGTCGGTTTCACTGTTAGGGTTTGCCTAACTCACTTGCACAAGATTATTCCGCCTGCCTAGATTGACCATGGGGTTTTTATTTATCTAGCGGTCAGAGAGGAGATGGTGGTGTGTGGAGCGTAGTGGTCATTGTCTGTCCATTATCAGTAGTGGTGGGGACAAACGATCGTCATTGGTTAACCATGGCTCGGGTCCTGGTAACTTCAAGCACCCCAAGGTGTAGCAATAGATACTGGGGGAACAGTCTCGTCGCAGAGTACAGCAACCATGCATTCAACACAGCTATCATCCACTGGCAAACACCTGATCAGAAAGTTGGTAGAGAGGGAGATGGACCTCTTCAGTTTAAGGGTGCAGCCGGAGTTGCTGTGATCCACATACACAGGAAGTATATCACGCTTGATAGTGAACCTCACGAGAATTCAAATTCTGAGCTCTGACCTGACTGACTCTATGCTATGAGTTGGTAGGTTGGCTCAAACAACGGAGAGTTGTATCAAACCTTATGATGTATCCGTGTGACAAGAGATGGCAATGTGTTGTGCTGACTGTGAAAACCACAGAATCCAGGTCTTCACAGACGATGGAGTCTACTTGAGGCATTTGGGAAGAAGGGAAAAGGAGAGGGAGAACTAACATGCCAGTCAGTATCGCTGTTGACTCTAACAATGGGTGTACGTTGGTGAATGGGAAAACAGTCGTGTATCAGTATTCTTCGCTGATGGAGAGTTTATCAGTGTTTTGGAAGAAAGCGGAAAGGTCCTGGGGATTTAAAGATCCATTTGACTAGCAGTAGATGAGAAAGGACTCTTTATGTCTGCGATACAAACAAACCGTCGTATTCAATTTTCACTAAGCTTCATGCACATCTGCCATTTTGTACATAATATTTGTGAGTGTTTGAACCTGAGTGACTGCTGTCCCAATAATAATGGTTAATGCGTACACCCGCAACGTTTTCTACGCGGAATTATTTTTAAATCGCGCGCACACACCCCTTTATTACGTAATTACGTGGCCACTAATAGTGGCCCTCCGCGTACCGCGGAGAAAGATTAAGACGGCCATTATACTTGCCTTCCGCGCGCAACGAGACCTGAATGAGATAGGTAATACTTAAAGACAAAAAGGGAATCACATGTGTTTTCATCATTCAGTGAAACAACATTGAAAATAGTCCTCAAATCCTAGTTACAAAATTCAAAACTCTGCAGTTACTGCTCATCTTTTGCTGTCAACTCCTGAAGAAATAGAAAGTACAAGAATTTCTCTAGAAATGTGATGTAATTGACCACACCCACCATGTAGTTTCCACCGTTCTTCTTTGTCTTCTTTCTGCACTTACCACAGCAACACCATCCTGTATAATTATAGCCACAGTGACACAATTGGAAAATATGCTGATCACGCACAAATAATATTAGGGTATGCAACATGATACTGAGCCAAAACATGTCATGTTATAATATATTAGTGGTTACTGTAGGTATATAGGATTATGGTATCAAATTATAAAAAGTTATTAAGCCTTTGTCCTTAATCCATTCCAGCATAATACAAGTTCTGACTAGCAGTTGCCTAAATCTCTGCACTAAATTATAATCACTGGAACAGACAGGGTTTCAAATTAGAGGTGTCCACATTGGGTTCTTTTAATAATTATAAAGGGGTCAAAAATTGCAATGCCATAAAACAACTGACCTTTAAGCTCTTTCCTGTGGTCATACTTCTCCAGTCAGCACGGCCTGCACTATAAAGGCGGCCACTCCACATGCCACAAAAAGCGGGACGGCACACCAGGAATACCAGCACAGCTCCAGCCTCGAGCGATGCTCTGCAAACAACAGCAGGTAGTACACCATCGCCCCCAGCTCCAGGAAATAGTCGACCCCCCAACAGATCATGAAACTCCCGAGGATCGAAGTCCCCAGCATAAAGAACCACTTCTGGATCCAGAGCGATACCAGACCGACTATGACCGCGCCCAACGCAGCCCCGATGACAGGAACGTAGATATGCTCGCGGAAAAATTGGATATCGATCGCGGCGAGGATAAACCAAGTGATGAGAAAACCGATGCTAGCTCCGGCGAGGAATATCCCGATGTAGTAGACGCAGATGGTGAGTACTCCGCATATGATCCCACCACCACCGAGACTGCGACTGCGGTGTAAGGGACCCAGGTCTGATGGAGGTGCTCGGAGGAGAAGGTGAGGATCGTGAAATAGGTGAGGGAGCAACCAATGACAAAGCCAATGAGGAAGAGGACAATTTTGATGAGCCGGTAACCTGTGCGAGGTAGGGAGAGAGGGAGCGAGTATATAGAGGAAGGGGAAACAGCGAAGTACAAAGAAGGAGGAAGAGAATGCCAGACAACACAAGCTGAGATTGCCAATACACACACACACAACACCAAGGGTATATAAAGTAAAGTTTAGTTTATGCACCCACCAATGTGGTAAAAAGCACAGATGGCATCCAGTAACAGATGTTAGCAGATGTCACTATACCCTTTGTGTACATAATACTAGTGGTCAAGATTGCTTTACCACGAATACTGACTAAATTCACAGGCATTTTTGCAAAGCACTGAAAAACTGTAAGTCATGACTCATAATGCACAGGCACCATTCTATATAGAGTGGTTTCAACAAACTGTTCAACTAACCACTACTGAGATCATGGATCATAATATCTCACAGGGATCACTAAGACTCAACAGTACAGTTAATATCTAGCTGGGCTCCAGGCTCCAGTGGCTGGCCAAAGAACTTGGCAACGAGTCGAGCTACAGACAAAGGCTTTTGAATGACAGAGCAGTCGATGTAGTGCCATAATATATTATAGCACGCTGGCACATTGGAAGAGCTGGCTGGGAACTCTATAGCTACTGGTAACATCCTAACAACCAAACCAATTACATCAACAGTAAATTGACTTATATGAGGCTAGAAGGAAAGTTTGTACAGCATATGGGACAAATATTTTCCTTATTTCTTCTGTGAAAAACTCACCAAAGAAAGCGAACACGATTCCGATCAAGCCCAGGAGGCCACCCAGCACTAGGCCAACGGTGGTATAGTAATCTTGGTTATACTCCAGAATATCGCATTCCTTTCCCACTGTCTCTGCATAGTTGATATCCAGCGGGAGATAGGACGAGAGGTTGTAGAAGGCCAGATAGAGCTTGTTGCGGGACTCGTGGAAAAAGTTCTTGAGTTTGTCTTCGATCTCTTCCACCGTTTGGTTTTCCACGTCCTGTATGGTGGTGTCTACATTGTTGTAGTTGATTGGTTGCTGGGCCTTGGCTGTAGTTATCAAGAGTGCCGTGAGACACACAGCTACCTGCAAGCACAGGAAGTTCATCAATAATCACGGAATTTTAAAAGCAAATCCGTACTCTGACACTCCGTCTCTCTTTGTAATAGCTTCTTGATCACATGGAATTGCAGCTAACACGATGCAAATGAAAAATGTCGCAGAAAATGTTGCTATAATATGGCTGGCTGGAGCGCATGCACACTACGCTCCGAACTTGATTAGTGCTCACTGCCATTCAATTTAGCTACTGCACGTGCAAGCTATAATTATAGCTACATTACAAGATTTGTACAAGCTATTGTTGTAACTAGGCTTTGAAGCAAACTAGTGGCTTACTTTGAGGAGCAACCTCATGTTTTCTGCTCTCTTGATGTCCTTTCGCCTCCTCACTCTCTAATCTCTCGTTCCAAAATCCAGAAAAATGGAAGAGAAAAACAAACACAAGCCGCAATAATAGGCTTTGTGCACCTGCCACTCCCACTTTCCTACGCACATTGCGCATGCGTACATATGGCGTTCCCGCTCCGCCACCACCATCCGTGTGTGAGAACGGCAGAATGAGTCGCCGCGCTCAGTCCACAGTCCGCTCCGCGCATGCGCAATAGTCAGTAATAAACATCAAAACGTGCAAATAAAGTGGAGATGCGTGTATAATGGACGAATGCATGAATAAGGACACACACCTACACACAAATAATATGAGGTTAATATACATAGCACCCAATATCTGCTATAAATACACCTTTGTTAAACATAAATAAACATAAGATACTAACACACACGCAAACGACTCGATATAGACAAATTTCACGAGCATGTCCTCTCACTCTCTCTTCTCTCTCAACACTCACACAACAGTTAACGCAAGATTAAAGTAACGTGTCATATTAATATCGTACAGTGCTGTGACTAGAGTTGTGTATGTTTTAACCAGTTGCTGCAGGGAAAACACGTGATAGGGCGAGTGGGGGAATTAGCTCCAGCCCCTCTAATTAGAGGAGGGTGCATTTCCTCTTCTTCGCCGGCTCAGGTGGTTCCAGGGCCGCGAGAATAGCCTCGTCGAAAACATTCTTCAATCCCTTCTGCGTGAGAGCGGAGCACTCCACGTACTTGACCGCACGCAGCTCTCGGGACAGTTTGTCTGCTCGTCACCGTGATGGCTTCTGCTTGCTTCGAGAGCTTCTCGAGCGTTGAGGCGTCGTCACGCAGATCGATCTGCGTCCCGACGAGAAGGAACGGTGTCTTGGGACAGTGATGTGTGATCTCTGGTACCCACTAAAGAGAGGAGAGGGAAGAGAGAGAGAGAGGGGGGGAGGTACATATGTGATATCGATCTCTTCCTGCTAGTACATTTCCACCCCGGGTCCTACATATGCGGAAGTATACCCACACAAAATACAAGTATGTCGTGTTCCTTACGGCAGAAACTTTAACAGAGTGTGTCACTATACATCCTTCACTTCAGTACACAGACAGTATGTACCGTAGAATATAAAATAATACACAACAGTATTACCGTATATAAAACTAGTCACAGACAGTATGTACCGTAGAATATAAAACTAAGTACACAGACAGTATTAGTACACATACAGTACGCGTAGATATAAACTAAGTACACAGACAGTATGTCACCGTAGAATATAAAACTGTTGCACTACATTAGTTACAATTACACGTGCCCTATTCAAACTGTATCAGAGTAAGAGAATGTTTTCCTGTGCACTGGGCTCCTGAGGGATGAGTGCCAGATGATGTGTATCTTACTGGAAACCAGGAGGATGCTGTTTGCAGCCCTGCTAAAGGAAGTGTTTACCCACACTGCTGTCACCAGGGCACCAGCCAACTGTGACATCATAGGAAACACGGCTACACACACCAAGCAAGCCTCAGTGGAGCCTCGTGGCCAAGGGACAACGGACATCTGTCCTTCATTCAGATTTCTCCTTTATTCAGGTTTGATGATCCTGTCGTACCATGGACAGGCAACGTGTCCTCTTTACTGAGGAGTCCCGTGTGACATATTATTATCACTGTAGTGGACGACGAAAAAGCTCCTCCCTTTATAGAACGTCGTCCTTGTACGCATGTATTTGAGAGTTCTACAATACACAGAGGATATGCAATTAAGACAGAGAACAGAGTCTCATGTCTACCGGATTCTATCTGAAGGTAAGCAGTCAGATGCATTGACACCAATATACATAAAATATGGCCTATAATGCACAGATATGCGGCTGTATAAATGATATACATACACCAGTGGGACTGATATAAGGTCAGTCACAGTGCGTAAGTAGTAGACACATGAGCTGTTAGGTCTATGAATATTGTTGCATGTGGGAACTTCATCACAGTTTCGGGTAATTGACTACCCAACTTCACAGATCACTTACATGCAGGACGCAGCAAACGATTGACTGCAGCACATCACGACAGACATGCGCGGTGCGTATAGGTCCAGTTCCTCTCCTCTATCCTTTCTCCACCAAACAGCCATCCCATGCAAATTTGAAAAAGGGTGTGGTCATACTGTCGTGTGTGTGGTGTGATGTGTGTGTGTGTGTGTGGGTGGGTGTGTGAGTTGTGCAGTGAGCGTGGTCCACACAACTAAAATTACGTGAAATGGAGTCTGCAAAAATCCAATGAAGGTGGAGTTCATTCTGAAAGTAAACACAATTGTTCAAGGCACCTCTCATGAGGTTCAAAATCTCTGCGTCTAATCTCTGCGTTCTTTGACTGAGGCTACCTTGCGTTGTGGATACAAAATGGTATATACAGCACCCCTTCATACAGGCTGGTTGCTAAGGGATGCAAACCACGCGTCATAATGTCTATTGGAAGTCTGGCCACTGAAACACCATCTCACCCTATCAGACACCACTTCCTTCCCCTTCTCTAGCAAGGGGTAGGATAAACACTCTTCAACACACACACACACACACACACTCAGTGTGTAACAAGAGGTAGCAAGGCCAAGGCAAAGCAAACAAGTCAACTACAATGGTAGATTGGAGCTCCTTTCTACCTACACCCCTAGAACACCGTCTCTAATAAGAGCACCTCTGCATGCCCTCACACAAGGACTGGGAACCTCATTTGTGTCCAGAGTAGAGGGGTTACGTAACTTGTTGGGATAAAGCTATGGGCTATATATATAGTAGACAGGCAAAGGAGTCATTAGACTTATTAATATTGTGCGGCTGTCAGGGGAAACAAGCGGAAAATTAGCAGCCAGGAGTGATGCCAGTTCTAGGAACAGCTAGTGAACTGGATACATACATATATCACAGTGGTGGGGTCATTGTAAGTCGAAATATGCACCCACAGAGGTGGCTTCTTACTTACAGTGGAACCCCTCTAATCAGGACACCTATGGTATGCCACTAGTGATACTCTCCAGGGCCTGATATACAGTAAACCACCACACATTCAAACCCTCAGAGTATCGAGTACATGCGTGAGTAACAAGCCCATCCTGCAATCTCAAACACTACTGGACATAACATTATCACTTTGTACATCAATAGCTCATGTACCTTGTGTGTGTGTGTGGGTAAGTGCGCTATTTCAGCAGCTGTGTGGTTCTTGTTATCTTAGAGAGGGCACGTGTGGACCGTATTGAAGCTTACTCTGCATGAAAAGTGCTACGGCATGAACTAGGATCGAGGGAGCAGCGAGAGGGAGAGAGAGAGCATGAGAGTATCGGCTACTATAGAGTTGAGCGAGAGCGCTAAGGCGTGAGGTGAGTTCTACGATATAAAGGTGGTACAAAGAGTGACAAGGACTATGGAGTTGATGTCATGAGTCTGACAATGCCAATCCTATGTATCATGTGGTATAAGAGACAAGCATCGGTCTCACCAGGGGACTTGTGGCCTAAACTTTCTTACTTTTATCTTATCAGGGAGCTGGGCGCAAAAGGAATACACTAGCCAACCATCTGGTTTACTTGAGACGATGTCTGAAGCGTGCAGTTAAAAACCTTTCGTACATTGAGCAGCTATTTACTGGGGCGGCATGGACGGTCTGAACAAGTAGTGCAGTGTGACAGACCAAGCGGCCATTTACCATGTACAATACACATGACATCACCTCGATGATCATGTGACATCTACAGGACACACGAGCGACACATGTGTGTGTAAATATATATCACCTTTTCCTTCTTGACGTCTCGAGAGGGAGGCTGGATGGGAGTGACAACGGAGAAGCAGCCGAGAAAGATAGCGTCCGTCTGCGTTGGTTAGGTATAGGACAGAGGTCGCAGCTGTCGTTGTAGTCTCCCTGACCGAGTAGGTGAGAGTGGTGAGGTGGGCAGCAGTGTGTCATGAGGGTGCTGGTCATCATTTGGAGAGGTGGGTGGTATCAATTATGGACTAAACACAGTCAAATTGGGCCTGATTTAGTGCTACAGATTTCAGACATTGCCTGTGTGGGATAAGACAGGCCCTGCGCCTGGCAAACATCTGATTGTTGACACTGTGCAGAGGACAGATGTCCCAACATTCAAGGGAGGAGGGAGGGAGGGAGGGACAGAGAGGAAGAATTTGGAACAGGCATTGTGAGAGAGGTTTGTGATAGCCTACTGTTTTGTGTAGGGTTTGATTTACATGAGGCTTATAGTGACAGATGAGTGGGGCTTAATAAAGCATTTCACAGCACACAAAGAGAGAAGGAGACAGAGGGGGTGTTCTTGGTACCTGCTGTGTCAAAAAGGCCCAGAGTAATAGGGGTTCTCCTCCTATCATTACTGTCACTGCATAGTTATCAAATACCTGGAGAGTGAGGCAGGGAGAGAGAGAGAGGAAGGAGGGGGAGAACAGATAGTGGACCGGCCACACAAACAGCATGTCAACAGAACCCAGTCTAGATTACATGCACAGCATCACAGCCAGTGGAGCTGAGCACAGCACACGCCCCTAAGTTAACCTCCACAGAGAATGCTGGATGTATACAAGTGTCGCGACCTTCACATTCAGAGCACACCTGGTAAGTCTTCAAGATCACTACACTGTTAGAACCGTATACACCGCTGAGTTAAGCCTCTAAATCGCAGCTGTCTGGACCCCCGGGGATCTAAAAATTTGCCCCCCCCCCCCCCTCCTTACTCTGAACTACAGAGATGCTGTGTACCAGTGTCTACTGAAAACGAACCTCACATTCAGAAAACTTCATCTGGTAAGTTTTCAGGATCCGTTACATTATGTAAGGCACACCTATGTACACATTCCTCCCTCCTCTCCTCTCCCCTCCCCTCCCCTCCCCACGCAAACACAAGGGGCGAGCACTGCTAGTGGTGGGAACAACTCCTTCGAGAACTTGTCCCGTGAACATCATCCAGACACATTGAGCATGAAAAGACGTGGAGTGCTCAATGAAAGAGCACGAAGACACGACAACCTAATGCATGTTGTTCGTTTCCACTCACCACACCATCCGTACAATACCCACATACACACACTTCCTCCTATCGCCCATTCTAGTCTCCTTCTGTACTTCTCTTTCCCGACTCCTTTACACCTCCTCCGCCTACTAAAACCTCCTTCTTTATCCCCCTTCTTTAGTGATAAAACGCGCACACAAACTACTCATATCGTGTCCGTAGAAAGAAGAGGCCCATAACTTACGGTCGGGACGTATTCCTGAGGAAACTTGTTGGTGGTGTAGGAGATGAGTAGACAGGTCTTACCGACTGCCCCGTCGCCTACAACTACACACTTGATCGTCTGCATGGCGAGATCCGCTCAACTAAAACTTGCTCCTAGAGGTCAAGATGCCGAGACTGAGGCTACGCGCGGGCAATCGAAGACCGGATTTAGAGAGGCAGGCGCTTTAGGTAGAACGATAGGGGCGTCTCCTTCTCTCCTAGTCTCTTTATGGCCGTCTTTCCTGACTGTCCAGCGTCTCCCACACGGCAAACAGTGATCGTCGAGCCCCAGTAACGGATATGGCACACCCAATATCGCCTATTTTTAGAATCCCTATTTATAACCGGTAAACGACGCCGGTGATACTATTTTAGTAACACGTTGAGCGCCCAATTAGCGCGCATTCTTGGAGATTAGACGGGTTCTGCGCACGCGATATGCTGCTGATAATTAATTTTGATTAATCCTGCGTGTATATGCTCACGTGACTTGCTACTATTTTTAGAAGCGATCTAAAAATAGTATCAACTTCCCACCCACGTTGATGGAAAGTCGTTGCCGTCATGATATTGACATACACCGGAATAATCATTACGTTCCTGACATTAAAAAATTTGACAACTTAACAATGCACTTAAAAAAGTCTGGCTGAGGGAAATTATATAATGTTATACATTGACATGACTTCCGTGGAGACGAAGAAAATAATAAGCATTAGAACAACGGTGCCGTAATGGTTAGGACAGCGTTCAGATACGCCAGGGGCTTCGCGAGGTACCGACCGGTGCGAAGCAGACTGAGGACGTACTGCAGAAGAACAGAGTATAGAGAATGGCAACGACCGTGTCGAGGATCAGGATCTGTCCGAAGCGCGTGAGGAGACGGATCTGGGTGGCGAGGAGGGGATGGTGGCCAGGAACGTGGTGAGGGCAGAGCTGAGTATGGAGACTCCGATGAAAGAGATGGCCGACATGACTCGCTGGACACGCGGACTGGCTCCGTGGGTGAACTGAGGAGAGAGGGAGTCAAATCATAACTGCAAAAAAGTTTTTATTTAGTTTCATAAAAACCGAAGAAGCACAACTCTTAAACTCAAAGAGGGTACTCATGGTTACGTTACAGTGTGTGCGATTTTTCAAATTCTCAGCCTATATGGAATATAATACCTTGAATTTGTGGAGGAAGGCCAAGTGTCTTGTGTCGGTTGCCACGTAACCCTCTGTGAGATGAATGCAATAATCGAGGGAGTTCCCCACGAGAATTGACAGCGAGACTGCCTCGATTATTCCCAGCGTCCACCCGAACATCTTGAACAGCCCGAGCAGAGTCACCAGCATCCCCAGAATGGTCAGTCCCATCGCCAAAACGACCGACCAGTCGTGTGACAGGACGGCGACGACAATCCCGCAGAGCATGATGGAAATGAGGATTCCATAGAAAGATCCGCGAATGGCGATGATCTCCGTATTGATGTCGACCCAGTACCCCGAGGCTTGAAACGTATGTTGGATGATGTCCCAGGCTCCTTCGTATGGCTGCCCCTCGCCGGAGAGACGACGAATTGCTTTCAGTTCAGAAGAGAGGAAATCCTCCCACTTTTCGTAGTCAACTATGTTCTCAGTGGCAGAGTCGCTCGGTGAAGTGGTCTGGAGGAGAGGAGAGGAGAGGAGAGGAGAGGAGAGGAGAGGAGGGGGGCAGAGGGAAGAGGGTTAATATATCACAAAAACGAGCGAATCAACCAAGGAGAGGGTTAAGAGAGAGGGAGATCAGATTTTGAAATCAAGAGGGAGAGGTACAAAGAGAAGGAGAAAAGCATCGGGGAATGTATTTCAGATAAGAAGAGAAAGACAGTTTTACGATTACGAGAAGAAAAAAACCACAACTATTGAAGAAAAGAGTAGATGTAGGAGAAGAGATACAAGAAAGAAAGAGAATCCAATATCTATCTATCCCACGAGCTCACTGATCTAAAGGCCATGGCCAGAAATCTCAGAGTCCCAGCTCCAGTCTCAGTCTTGGTGTAATTATAGTGGGCCCTGACGTAAGAATTTCCACTCTTCGCCGCGCGGCACTCTTCCAAGTCGCTCAGACTGAAGCCCGGTGGCAGGCACTTGCTCTCCAATGTCTCGACTATCTCCGGAGGAAAGCAGGTGAAGATCCCGTTGAGGACTAGTCCGTTGGCCGGGTTGGAGATGTTGTGACAGACGCGACACATGGCGCGGAGGGTCCCGAGGAGGGAGGGGAGGGAGAAGGAGGATGAGGAGGGAGGGGGGCACGTGAACATGGAGGAGAATGACTTGTCCAGAATTGCTTGGCGCTGGAGAAAAGGGTGAGGGGGGGGGGAGTGAAAAAGAGAGAGATGAAAAAATTTGATTATGCTCTGCTTCTCTTGGCGCATAATGCATTGCACGTTTATTATAAACTCTCTTTCTTCACTCATTAACTCATTATGCATACACGATATTATTATGCAAGAGTCTTTTAAAACTATTTCCTGAAAGGGCACTTCACACACAGAACTTTGTGGTCACAGCTCATAGAAAAAATTAAGTTAGCAAAATTTATGTCACACACAAATTTCTGATCAGCATGTGCACTCACCCCTTCTCCTTCAACTCCTGGCAAAACGTGCGACGTCGAATATTTCCTCTTAACCCCTTCCACACCAAATACCACGTTCACTACAATGTTATTCACGAGGTTCGGATTCTGGGCGGGGCCAGAAGTGGGAGGAGGCTTGTTAGTGGGCGGAGTCCCGTCAGACGGCGAAGATGATGCAGAAGTTGGTGAAGATGCAGAAGTTGGTGAAGAAGAAGAGGGAGAAGAGGTGGAGGAAGTGGGGGGAGGGGTGGTACGGTCTGTTGGTTTGCTGGTGGTACCACTTGTGGTGGCAGTGGTCGCAGTGGTAGCGGTAGTGGCATGAGTGGTAGGTCTAGTGGTAGCGGTCTGGGGAGGAGGTGTGGTGGGGTTTGTGGTACTGCTCTGCGTCGTTCCACTAGTAGGTCCCTGAGTACCGCCTCCTGCTGTCCCTCCTCCTATGTCCATCAGAAGAGAGGGGGGAATTTCAGACCCCTCCAACGAGGACCCCTCTAACTTGAACCCCATATGAAATGAACAACCCCTTAATTTTACAATGATGACCTTTTTAATCTGAACCCCATTGCCATTAATTTTGGAAATCAACCTAGACTACAAATAGCTATGCGTTCATTGAACCCCTGAATACCCCACATATATGATACGTTCTCTCGTCCCATTAGTGTCTGGATTAGAGGGGCTCCACTATCCACTACATACAGCTATAACTCAGCCCCTCTCTCCAGGGATTAGATTTTGCTCACAAGACTGTACTAGTGAGTTAGTTACCTCCACTAGTAGTTCCAATGTACCAGGCGGAGCAGTTCCAGCAGTTGATTGACTCGACGTCGGTGAGATTTCCCTGCAGGTTCAGCAACTTCTGCATGTTGCTGTCGGGATCAAAGATCTGCGGAGGACCGTCCGAAGGCTGCAGCTGCGATGCGGCGCCGCTCATTGATACCAGGATGGCAATAAATAGAATCACCGGTAGTAATCTGGTGATCCAGCGCACGATCGTCCGGAGTAGACCGTCGGGCAGACAATGACAGCGAACCAACTGCGGTAGCATTACCACACGAGCTATGGTGAAAAGGAGTGCTTTTTGCACCAGCACAGTGATTCTGTTCTCTATTGTAGGGGAACGTGTAACTTCAGGATTCCCGTTCACCGGTTCTTCCATTCTCGATACCACGGCTGCTGTCGTATCCGTTCCGTTCCGTTTGCTCCCCGGTTCCATACCGATGTTCCCATCTTCCTCGGCCACGAGGCTAGACGTACTAGAATGGGAATCGGACCCCACGGAATTGGAATCGGACCCAGTACTGTCGCTCCCCCTGTCCTCAATAATGCCGCTGTCGGTCTCCAGATTCATGTCTGTTAGTTCAGTCATTCTTACAGGAGGGACGACTGAGTAGGAGGCGGAGCCCTGGAACAAACTGTGCGTGTGTTAGGAAGGAGAGATGTGGCCATAATGAATACATTCACAAAACCACCACACTCAACTTTCAGGATAACAAATGAGTGAATGCGCGTACACATACATAGAATTAGCTTTAAAAAGTGGGAAGTGCTAAATTTTTAATGGGTTAATTGTATAAATTTTACCCTCCGACAAAATTTGCAGACCACTTGAAAATATTCATGTCTACTTTTTGGGAAGACACTTGCGTGATTCAGAAACAAAATTAACGTCTCTTGCTGCACAAATTTTGCAAATGGTTAAAATTTTCAGCCTCGAAATCTTCCCACATGCAGTGTGTCTACACTGTAAACAACAACAACACAGCAGTCACCTGCAACGGCAGGCAAGGTGTCTGAAGAATTTGATGAGATGTCTAAACGGAAAGATGAGGAGTGTGAGGATGAAATCTTCGACTGGAAGTAGCCACACCTGCCAGATGTGGAGAAACAGCGGCATCGTTATGGCAACGGTGATGAAGCAGAAGATAACGACTAGACCGGTGAAGATGGCAAACTGTCGGACTGCAGGAATCTGGGCAGAGAGGGGTTAAATCACTATCAATTGCACATGTTGTATATATGTGTGCGCATACATTTAAGAGGGGTCTTTCAATGCGGGGGTCAAAAAGAAGGGGTCACAAGTGTTTTTTTATATGGTGTCTTTCTTTAAGTCTTCAATGTATGGTATCAATGGTCTCTACACTAGGGGTCTACATAAAATGGAGGGGGTGCTAAAGATACTAGGGGGTCTACATAAATGGAGTGCTCAAAGATACTAGGGGGTCTACATAAAATGGAGGGGGTGCCTCAAAGAACTAGGGTCTACATAAATGGAGGGGTGCTCAAAGATACTAGGGGGTCTACATAAAATGGAGGGGGTGCTCAAAGATACTAGGGGGTCTACATAAATGGAGGGGGTGCTCAAAGATACTAGGGGGTCTACATAAATGGAGGGGGTGCTCAAAGATACTAGGGGGTCTACATAAATGGAGGGGGTGCTCAAAGATACTAGGGGGTCTACATAAATGGAGGGGGTGCTCAAAGATACTAGGGGGTCTACATAAAATGGAGGGGGTGCTCAAAGATACTAGGGGGTCTACATAAAATGGAGGGGGTGCTCAAAGATATTAGGGGGTCTACATAAAATGGAGGGGGTGCTCAAAGATATTAGGGGGTCTACATAAATGGAGGGGGTGCTCAAAGATATTAGGGGGTCTACATAAATGGAGGGGGTGCTCAAAGATACTAGGGGGTCTACATAAATGGAGGGGGTGCTCAAAGAGATTAGATGGTAAGGCATATATTGTGGGGCCTTTTAGAGTCAAAATGGAGGGGTCTGAAATTCAGGGGGTACAAATCTGGGGGGTCCCAGTGTAAAAGGTTACCTGAGATACTGCGTTGGCGAGGAAGGCGATGGCAGTTGTTGCCGAGGTGCAGAAGGTGGCAGAAGTGGCCACGAGAATCGTGTGAGCCAGCCTCTTGTGCGTGCTGTCCAGTCCCTCCAACCCTCGCGACTGTTTGAACGTGTTGAGAAACACGAAAACGTCGTCCACACCGATCCCGATGATGACAAATATGGTGACGATGGTGAGGAGAGAGAATGTTTCGTAACCGAGGACGACGCGGTAGAAAAATAGAGAGACGAGGAAACACAGGACGAGAGCAAAGCCGCCCCAGAAAGTCAGACACGCGGAGAAGCCCGTCAGTATGAACATGGCGACAAGGACGATGGCAAACGATCCGATTCCGAGAAGCAGGTCGTGGCGTTTGGCCTGGTTTAGTTCGTAGTCAAATATGTCTCCTCCTCCATAGAGGACCTCCACTTCACTGAAGAGGGGGGGAAGGGTTAAATGTGAAAGTGGACCCCCAATTAAAGACAAAACAGGACAGGATGGAACCTTATGTTCTATCTGAGAACATGCAAGTTTAGGAGGGGTCTTTGAATCCAGGGGGGTGTCTTCTCAAAATTGGGGTCTTAAATTAAGTGTGTTCTACATAATATAAGGGGTCAAAATGGAGGGGTCTTTGAATCCAGGGGGGGTTCTTTCTCAAATGGGGGTCTTAATAAGAGTGTTTCTACATAATATAAGGGGTCAAAATGGAGGGGTCTTTGAATCCAGGGGGGTGTCTTCTCAAAATGGGGGTCTTAAATTAAGAGTGTTCTACATAATATAAGGGGTCAAAATGGAGGGGTCTTTGAATCCAGTGGGGTGTCTTCTCAAAATGGGGGTCTTAAATTAAGTGTGTTCTACATAATATAAGGGGTCAAAATGGAGGGGTCTTTGATTTCTGGTGCTCTACCGTGTAAGGGGGTGGTATTACGAAGGTCTAAATTTTAGGGGGTCCGAAATGGAGGGGGTTTTAAATGAAAAAGAGAAGGAGAAAGAAAGTGAGAGCGGGAGGGAGAGACGAATTGAGAATGGGAGCTAGGAGACAGAATGGGACTTGGCTAGCGAAGCGAGCCCACCTAATTTTTATTATGCACTTTTCTGCACAAACAGTCCCCAGTTCCCAAACGTAGTTGATGTGTACATTACGGCAAGAGAAACCAAACAGTATGGAAACCACACACACAGTATATGTCCTCAGTGTACATTTGGGCTACAGTATACAGACCGTGATATTATTGCACATTCACCACACTCTCCCTAGGGACTATGCTTTCCCAGGAATGCTAACATTAGTTTGAAGCTGGGTCGGCACTCCCACTCACATGGGACACCTGACTACACCGTTGACTGTCAGCAATTTCTCATGTTCCAAGATTATTCACACACGTTAGTAATATAGAGCACTTCTCTCTCCTCCATATACGGTGGTTCATATGTAGATACATGCCCTTATGCAAGGAGGAATGCCGCCATCTCCTGGATAATAGGTTCGGATTCCTTCTCACGAAACTCCACTCTTGCTTTTAAGGAAAGTGCATTCCCCCTCTGCCTACCTCTCTCCCTCCTCTACACTCTGATTCGTGTAGAGGAACTCTCTCTGTGTACGTGTGGACTTTGTGTTCACGTGTTTTGTTTTGAACAAAGCCAGTGCAGCAAAAAAGTGAAAGAGAACTGAGTTTAGAAGTCCAGTGAGAGGCCAGGGAGATTCCTGTCCTACCTACTACAGTCTGGAGGCTGACAGGTCCATGATAAGACCATGACAACAAGGAGAAGAGAGTAACATGGCAGGAAATCCTGCAGCAGACAAACACGAGTCACTACAAATGGCATCTGCATTTTTGTGTGCCCATATTATTCCACTGGATGTCATGCCTACAAACCTTTTGCTGTGTTATGCGTAGGAGCTAGCTCTCTCTCTCCTTCCAACCTTACCCCTCCCTCTTACCTATATACATGCCTGATGTGATCAGCTAATCATGCAGGTAGAGAGTGGGCTGCCAAAACGACTTATCAACTCAGAGCCAAACCTGCTCAACCAGTTTGTATTCCCAGTAAAGAACTCTTTCTTGCCAATCCAGACAAAGGCTTGTGTGTATTGACGCAATCCTTTAGAAAGCAGCACATAATTTGTGCACAATTTCCAAACTATTCAACTACAGTCTAAGATAGAAGCTTGTGCAGAGGTGTAGCAAGGAGATGGAAGCCAAACAAACTAGCAATAAAGATGACAAAACCTGCTTTTCAACAACTAAAGAATTGCAGTGGAATTTACTCACATATTCACCTGAGATACAAGAGTCCACGAAAAGTTAGGACACCCCGATGAACCAAGGCCACTTTACTGCACACAGTTCATCAGGACACCTTACTTATCAGGACACCTTGATGAACCAAGGCCACTTTACTGCACACAGTTCATCAGGACACCTTACTTATCAGGACACCCCGATGAACCAAGGCCACTTTACTGCACACAGTTCATCAGGACACCTTACTTATCAGGACACCTTGATAAACCAAGGCCACTTTACTGCACACAGTTCATCAGGACACCTTACTTATCAGGACACCCCGATGAACCAAGGCCACTTTACTGCACACAGTTCATCAGGACACCTTACTTATCAGGACACCTTGATGAACCAAGGCCACTTTACTGCACACAGTTCATCAGGACACCTTACTTATCAGGACACCTTGATGAACCAAGGCCACTTTACTGCACACAGTTCATCAGGACACCTTACTTATCAGGACACCTTGATGAACCAAGGGCACTTTACTGCACACAGTTCATCAGGACACCTTACTTATCAGGACACCTTGATGAACCAAGGCCACTTTACTGCACACAGTTCATCAGGACACCTTACTTATCAGGACACCTTGATGAACCAAGGCCACTTTACTGCACACAGTTCATCAGGACACCTTACTTATCAGGACACCTTGATGAACCAAGGCCACTTTACTGCACACAGTTCATCAGGACACCTTACTTATCAGGACACCTTGATGAACCAAGGCCACTTTACTGCACACAGTTCATCAGGACACCTTACTTATCAGGACACCTTGATGAACCAAGGACACTTTACTGCACACAGTTCATCAGGACACCTTACTTATCAGGACACCTTGATGAACCAAGGCCACTTTACTGCACACAGTTCATCAGGACACCTTACTTATCAGGACACCTTGATGAACCAAGGCCACTTTACTGCACACAGTTCATCAGGACACCTTACTTATCAGGACACCTCACTAATCAGGACACCTCACTAAATCGGGACACCTCACTAAATTGGGACACCTAATTTATCAGGACAACTTAACTAATCTCAGGACGCCTGACGCTCCATTCATCAGGACAAATCACTGATGAGCATAAAAGCACGACACCTCGCTAGACCAGAGAGTTATCACAAAGCATAACTATGTACATGTCTCAACAACTTGGTAACGAGGTACATTGAAAGGCAAGGCAAGGCAAACAAGTCAACTACACCCAGGACAGCTCTTTCTTTTCAAAAGAAGAGTTGCCCTGGGTGGGATTCTAACCCACGCACTCTGCAGTCTAGGTGAGCGCTCTACCAACTGAGCTACCAGGGCAACTCAGCCGGTAGGGGTTCGAATCTTCAACACAACACAACACAAGACCAACCCCAAACTACAGTGCTATGGCACGGTATACATGTAACTGCTATAATTATGGTATCCATAACACTGAAAGTGCAGGAAATTTTTCTAATGCTCACTTTGGCCCTTGTCCACAAACTAAAAAGTCCAAGCCAACTTGGCAAGAGTTAGAACAGGCGAGAGAGAGAAACGTGGGTAGGGAAAGAGGGAACGATTAGAGATACCGCGATGCCGTACCTGGTGGAAGCGTGTTCGAGAAAAGGAATGAGCGATATGAAAAACTCTTTCACTTTCTGGTGCTGTTCGTTAGTTCTGTCGCCATAGGAACAGTAACATGGTAGAGGCACACCCACACGAACCTGTGGGGATAGAGAAGGAGGGAGAGAAGAGAGAGGGGGAAGGAGAGGAATTAAAGACGAGGAGGGATTGAGGGAGTGAGAGAGAGAGAAGACATAAAGAGGGAAAGAAAACCAGGATAATGGCAGGAAATGCGACAGGAAAATGATGATGAAACGAGGCCCAGAGGGTGGAAGTGAAACATTGTAAGAATTCACCACAATACCTGTACTATACTAGCATACAAGGCCTCTGAACAACACTGAGTTTGAAAGTAATCCTCCTCCTTCTCCTCCTTCTCCTCCTCCTTCTCTTCATTCACACACACTACGTTACTATTGTGTGAGATGCACACCTATATATATATATAACCGCTGTGCTTCCCTCTCCCTGCCACACACTAATTTGGAGTACAATAGCTACATTATAGCTACATAGAAGGAGTTTCGAGAGAGAATTCCACATTATACGGTGTTTAATAGACAACACACATTATATGAGAAGGTGACATTATCTTGGGAAAGTTCTTGGGAGAGGATCGCCTTTTGTATATACAATGCAATGCATGAAAGGTTCTCCAGAAAAATTACCTAACATTTACTGACGTTACATACAAAATTTATACTCTTCCAAATTTATCAGCTTTTGTATAAGATATGCACTCAATAGCAAGTAAGGCTTCCGTCCATTTCTCTTTCTCTCTCCGAACTAACCTGGGCTCTCAGGAGCGAAGTGTTCCCGATATTACCTCCGGTATACCACAACAGCTGCTCCGCCTGCTCCACAGTCAACTGACTTGTGTCTACAGACTCCCTCCAATCGTCCGGGAGTGTGTCTCTCAAGAGAGAGCCGTCGTCCGTGCTACGAGGGTAGAGGTAGGTCAGGAGGGAGTTGACCGGATCGCAGACTGGGTTCCTGAAGGCAAAGTGACAGACTGTGGAGTACTTCGGAAGGTTGTAGATGTGTTCCTCGATCGAGTGGAGGTACTCGATGTGTCTCGTTTCGAGCAGGTTTCGTCCGCCGCGACCCCGATAGACCAGCTCCAAAACCCACGTCCCGTGCATCCTACGCTGGCTTGAGCCGCTGTTGCAGCAAGAAGACGACGAGCTAGCTGCCTTTTCTTCATTACCTCCTCCTCCTCCTCCGCCTCCATCGTCCGACAGTAAATTTTTGGAGCTGACAGACGAGTCGCCACTGAAAGTGTTCGGATTGGTTTCATTGAAGAACTGTTTCTCCACGGCGGCTTGGTACGCGTCCCAGTGAATCGAGGACTCGTGGTCTGGGACTTGCACAGAGCTGATGCTGATGTTGTACGTGAGCGGAAACACATTGAACAAAACGAGGCAACCCAGCATGATGGCCACGGAAGAGAGAACCACGAGGACTAACAGAGGAACTACGGCATATTTCTCCGGCCAAAAGGCGTAGCTGACAGCTTTGAGGACGTAGGGGTAGAGCTTTCTGTAGGAGCGGCTGTGTGACGGCGGGAGGGAAGAGGAGGGGGGTCGAACGATGTCGCCTGATTGGACCGAGAGCGGACGGTGGTTGTTACTATGGCAACACCCCCCTTCTCCACAGCAGCCGTTGGTCTGATCGTGTCCCAAATCCACGTCGTAGAGTTTCTCTTCCCCTTTCCCACCAATATTCCCCTTCTCCCCCTTCTCCTCCCCCTCCTCCTCCTCGTCCCCGCCGTTTTCCTCAATCAGATCCACTGGTACCAGAAGCTCTCTATCGACCATCTTCGCATTCACTGCATATTCATATAACACAATATCGCAATCTCGAGAGAGCAAGAGTATCTTAGCTATATACTTTGGGTTTGCTACAGCTAACGTAGGTGAGAAAGCTTTCCCTGTCGCTTCCCATCGGAGCACATACTATCTTTACGTCTCTTCGATACTCTCCTACGTTCTCGCTCGCTCTCTCTCTCTCTCGTCGACTAGTTCTAGACCCTCCTACACCTTGTGGCAACTACGGTAACAACTGAGCTACTTAGCTGAGTTCCTTGCTACACGTCGTTGAACTTCGTACGACTTCTACCCGCCCGTTTTTCGACCGGGACGTCGTAGGCACGCCATCCCCGCTCCCGCCTATCATAAGCTACGGATAGCTACAGCCGCATCTGAGCGGTTCAGCTGCCGAATACCAGGAGGTCGCTAGGATACCGCCTCTAGCTAGGTCGCGAGAGCCCGGCGCTAGCAGCTACAAGACACAACACAACATACCGACTCTTTCTCTATCTCTCCACTCAAGATCTCGACCTACGCTCTGTCGTGACAGCCACAGCCCGCCGCAGCCTCTGTGGCTCCAGACGCTGTTGGTCTACTACTGTTTACACGGTAGTCCGCACGAACTTTGTCGGCTAGGAGTATGCATACGACACATGACTTTATGGAGGCGTTCAGATGAAGGGGGCCTCCCCTTTCGGGTGTCTTGGGGGCGGGCTAGAAACTCAGCTCAGTTCCCGGACTCGGTTCCGGATATGGGGAACGCGCTAACCTATACGCATGCGCAATGCGCGAAGAACGGATCTGTACGTGTGCACATGCAATGAAATAACACCGCGTGGAATGTAAATGAAATGAGAAGAGGTCGGGAGCATTTCATTTGTGTCACCGGATAAGAAAGAGAGCAGGCGAACATAATGGCAGCAATCATGACTGCGGAAGAACCGTTTCACCGCGTGCGATCGGAGCCAGCGTTCAGCCGCGTCGCAGTGTCCGGACGGAGCGGAAGCATTGACACTGGTGTCGGGTCGTCTCGCCTCTCTTCCAGCGGCGCCAGCAGCGCGGGCTCTAACTCTCCACCTGGCGGCAGCGTCTCCAGTCTCGCGCCCATCAAGACGCTCTCCGAAAAGATACAGGTTAGTCGCACAGCAGCTGGGTAGTTGGTAGCAACCGGCGGCTTGTGTCCGTACATTGTGGACACAACGTGTCTGCATGTTTAATTCCGTGTTTTGAGTTAGCAGTGTCTTGCGAGTTAGCAGTGTGGAGGATATCGCAATATGGAGGAAGCCATGGAAGTGCTCAGCTCTGGCGAGCCTGCACTGGCGATTTATATCCACACACGTGTTTCACCTTTTAATCAGGGGGCATTATTTAGAGATCAGTACCCAGAAATAAAGGTCGTGGAACAACATAAGATGTCACCTGACTTTTATTCACGTGGTGTTTGTCAGTTTTACCAAGCTGTGGTTCGGTTGAGCTGCAGTTGGCATGGAAATGTGTTTAGTGACCTTTTGTTATGTCAATTGGTGTAAGATTGTAACTTCATACCAGTTATACCAGCATTCACACTTTATATATACCAGCATTCACACACGACTATATATTCACAGTGGCTTCTTTTGTCTTGTAAGTCTATCCCACTATCGATCGGCCACCAACATTATCTTGTATGATTTTGTACGCGACTACTTGTGGTATAATGTGCCTTATTCTGCACCCTTTTCTACAGCATTTGGCATGCAAGCCGACCTCGCACAACAACTTGTGGCCACTAATATTGTGGTTTCGTACTCGTTGGTACTAATTTGTCTTTTTTGGTCCCCCACCCCCACCCCTACAGGGACGAATCTCGAGTGGCGACAATTTCTTCTCCCTAGAGTTCTTCCCCCCGCGGACGGCTGCCGGAGCCGCTAATCTAATCAACAGATTCGACCGCATGTTTGAGGGCGGGCCGCTGTTCTGTGACGTAACGTGGCACCCTGCCGGCAACCCTGGAGGTACAGGATTTCCAGTTTAACTGGTCCATGGAAATTATATGGGTTTTGATATAGAGATGTGTCCGATATTCTGAGTTTCCATTAAAAGTGGTTTCAGTGAATTTGTATCTTTGGGTGAATTTTGAGCACAATCTCTCTGAGTGAAATTTTAGCACTCTCTGGGTGAAATTTTGATCACTATCTCCGAATGTGATGCTTTTGCTACCCCTACCCGTGGGGATATTTTGCATGTGCAGACACCACACACAACAGTGCATAGCTCTAAGGCCATAACTCATGGCACTCAGGCACACTCTCGCCGGCATTTTTTCTGGGGTTGCATGCTATGGGATAGAGGGACCGGTATATAGCAGGTGGTCAAACCTATTAGGAACCTGATTGTCAATGGTTGCAGAAAGTCATTTGTGTTTGAACTGTTGGCATGGTGTTTTGGGTTGCCATAACTTCCACTCTGGGAATCTTTACAACTACATCACCACTGCCTAGACTTGAAAAGGATTCTTGGAAACACGTGACATCCAATTTCATTAGTCCCCCATCATTCTTTGTAGCTAAACACTTTCCTGTGAAAGTTGTACATACTGAATTAATAACCCTGGAACAATGACAGCTTGCTTGTCCATAAAGTCCGCTTTACGACATAGGGATGTATACCAACCGATTTTTTAACCCTCTCCCTCCCACAGGAGACCAGGAGACTAGTTCCATGGCAATAGCCAGTGCGGCCCTCAACTACTGCAGTCTGGAGACGATGCTCCACATCACGTGCGCCAACAGCACAAAGGAAGAAATCAGACAACATCTTCTCAAGGCCAAGGCGCTGGGAATAAAAAACCTT